AAATTGTAACGCCTGTCCGATTCTTAACTAATGTAAATTGCTATTGTAAAAGTAATTACACCGGAGAAACAACAATTGTTAACTTCACCGTCCCGTACCCGGGTCATCAACTCGTTTTGTCTTAAACATTACTTACTTTAAACTAGCTTGTAAGGTACAATACAGCTCGCTTCAGGACGCGGGGGGGATAACCCTACGAATCATTGTTTGGAAACTATTCTTTTGTGATAAAAGTTATTCTAATTCAATATTCGCCTGGAGAAATAATCCCGGTCAATCCCTTGCGTACCCTTATTTGCATGCTTTACAGGAGTGGAGACATTCCAGGGGAGGTGATACTGTAACTACAAGGGCATCTGTCCCGAATAGTTAACTTGTATTTCGTCTCGTTGTCGTTCAGCACGTCGGTGCCCAAGAAGAACTCACCAAGGTCGTCGACTAAACTCCTTCGTATCCTTTACATTGTCGTAGCAGACCAGCGAAGATCTACATAGAAATAATTCCAGTAAGGTAAGTGAGAAATACGCAAACTCCTCTTGAAGCACCAACAGATAGTAAAACAACTCAAGGTCATACTAGAACGAGCCGGCTAGCATACTGTAGCAAGGAACTGGCAGTCTACACTTCCTTTATCAACTTCCTTTATTTCTGAGCTAAGTGCGTTGGACGCCCTCATTTTCCAAAAGTCTGAACCACTGAGCCTATTCGAAGCATTCCCATAGTCATTGAGTTTTCCCATAGATCCACGCGGAGAAGCATTCCCGCGCCTTTCCATAGCCCGAAACTCAAACATAACCTCACATACGCATCTTACAAAAAGTCCAACCCTCAATTGTGTCTCATCCTCCAACCAGATTTTCGAGTGTTCTTAAAGAAAATTAGTTTATAAAATTTCAGAATATATCATATAATATAATATTTGAATTGAATTTTTTACCTGAAGTAAGTTTTCCAGATTTCGATATTTCTACGTGTACATTATCTGGTCTAAAAAGTGACGTTCTACCCGTGGACCAAGTTTTCCAGTTGGTTCTTTTAACACAAGAAGAAGAGGAGTGAGAAGTTTTCCATCAGCTGATATCAATGGTTGTATAGTATAACTGTGAGTTGAAAAAACCGATTGAACTGTGCACTCTATTTTTTCTTCTCCTTCTAGAGCTAAAGTCCTTTTTGAATGAACATTCAATTGAAAATCACTTCAATCAGAGTTATGTATGTTGTCTAAACCATATGATTAAATTCTCAATTTTACATCGTTAGCGAACACTTCTGATGATTGTTCTAATATTTTACGGTCTTCGATCGTTTTTGATGATATGAATTTGTTAATTTTACAAAAAACAATACGATGAGCTCTTCTGAATGATAGTATCCACGTCAGAGATGCTTGAAAACAGAGCACATCAAATTGTAAATTTTTTTTTAGTTAATAATGCCCATTTTTTTGAATCTGAATTATGGACTATCATCTAGGCATCAATAGCAGTTTCGAAATTTTCCAACGTATATTTGCAAATTTAAGCTATTTTTTCTTTGTATGTTCCACCTTGGTTCAATTGATGTGCCCAGCGTTTTAGTTGTCGAGTAGACTTTACTTTTCTTAATTTTTGCTTAACATTATCGATACTTGAATTCTTTCTCTTACCACTTTGCCCAATACTCAATTGCTCGCAAGTTATAATCATAACTTGAGCTTTCTTTATCAGTAGTACTTGCTCTATCAGACACTTTTGGCTCATGGATGGCAGATGCATATTTTTCGTCTTCTATAATTTCTGGTTCCCAATTCTTATATGGTTCTTCAAAATGCAATGAATTCTTTGCGATCATTTCGATATCAGTATACCCATTCATTGCATTCAATAATATTTGTTCAAAGTGATTCTTCAATGGTATTATAGCATTATTTACAGGTGTCTCTATAATTTTAATAGTTTGAAATGTTGTTAAAAGTAACCAAAAAACATTAAGGGGGTTAATTTTTATTTTTAACTATTGAGTGTTACACAATCATAAGAATAAAAAATAATAATATTTCTATTTCAAGCACACGATTTCATACACATATAAAATGATGATAATGGCTATTAACCAAAATTAGAATGAATACAAGATGCAAAAATATTCATTTGCTACAGTATTAAAGATAAATGCGATGTGACGTCCGTCTGTTTTTATTTCTTTTGAAAAGTAATTAACAATTATTTCCTCACATTAAATTGTTTTTATAATCATTTCCTTATTAGTGAAATGTTCCTTGTGTTTAATTATTTGTAATATTTTTTAAATTGAAAAAATTTCCGTTAATATATACTAATTATTTTTTTAACGTTAAATTCGTAATATTATCAATAATTTATAATCATGATAATTGTTAATTAAAGAAATATTCTACAAAAATTACGAAATAAGCGATGAAACAATTAATGTTATCTTGAAAATTTTTACCAACAAGTAATAAATCATTTGTATCTAATATACGCAATAGAACTTAAAAATTTGTAGCAATGCAAATAAATTGATAATCAATGCCTTTAACACCTTTTCAAATCCCTCTAAGGAAACTGGACCGCTTCAACACATATTAGTAGAAACAATTAGGAAGGTAATTACGCTCGGTGACGAACGTGAATCATTGTGGTTCCTGTTTCAATTCAATTGACTATTGCGTTCCTTATCTCAAATTGTACATTCTGTGGATTACTTGCTGTTTATTCGAGGTATTATAATTTTATTAAAAAAAAATGTTATCTTGTTTCATTCAAATTTCTTTTTAATAGACGACTTTAAAAAAAAAGTCACTTTGAAATTAATTCAATAAATTAAATGTACGTCAAGACATAACAGTGAAAAAGTAATTTTACAATTTTTTGAATGATTAAAATATTTCTCATTCGTTAGAACTTCTAGTATTGAATAATCCGTAAATGACAATTACAGAAATAATTTTCCCCAAAAATAGTTTATCGGTGACTATGATAAAAATTATACCTATGTTTGCCCACATGACGGTAACAAAAAAAAACATTTTGACTAATCATAAAATACTCAGTCTCTAATTACGACGCATTTTATTCAGTAATCATTGTAACGATAAATAATTAACCAATAACAATCGAAAATTTTTAAATTGCGATTTTGTTTACTATCGTTCGTGTTATTTTAAAAATTGCAAAGACACGTATCTCGTAAATTTTTATACGCTTTCGATTGAAATTGGTCCTATCAAAAAATAATTTTTAGTTTTTGAGTTATAGATTTTTTGTTATTTTTAATAAAAAAAAAAAGTATATCCGCAAGTTTTAGAAATATGTAAATAAAGGTATTTTTCATCATTTTTTATGTTGTTTACAACGTATAAGGTCGTTTTGGAAAATTTCGATTAGAAATATGTGAAAATTTGAAATCACCTTTGTCGGGTGTCAGATTTGGGGGTGATTTTTACCTCTTCACACCGTTTTTCCACAGAAATAAAAAAAACGTGGTTCATCATTTTCGACGGAGATTATTATATAGAAGCCTCAGCTAAATCGGCGGTGATCTCCTCGCGAGGTTTCCTTGCTAGTTCCACTAAGTTTTAGACCTTTTACTTCCACTCATGAGTGTCGTAACAGTCGCCGGTTACAGTACATCCTCTGAGAGCCATACCACCTTTGTGCACTGGTAGATGGATCGTTGATGCTTTTCAGCTAAATTAAGGTTGGTGCGATGCTATATGAATGCGCCAATAAATGGTAAATATTTAATAATTTCTGTGACTTGAGGGGAATTATATCGTTACTATTATATAACAATGAAATGGTTATGTGAAAATCAGCGAATAATAGTTAAAACGTTACAGAAATCAAGACGTGTTTTATTAAATGCTGCACTTTGCAGCTATCCCCACACTCTGCAAAACTACTCCGGTGAATACGAATTCATTCCTACTGTACGGTAGGGAGGGTGTTCTGACTTCGAGTCGGGCCGGATGATAAAACTAAAAACTAGTGGACTGTAATAATAAGAAAAAAAGGTTGGATGCTAGAAGGTTTCGGAAAGTGATTCACAAACACCACATTGTATGGTTTTTTTTGATTTTATTAAACAATAACACTTAACTTAGAACAATCAAGAACAATCATCACTAATTGTTTGTGAGTTGACTGGAATTTTATGGTTTGTACAATTATGAATTGTCTGATATTTGATTGTCACCAAAAAGAAAACTCTCAATCCGTGAATAGCAACAGGCACACTATACACCTGAGTTGTTCGAGTGTGTGATGTATGTGTGGCTGTCCGTGAGACACTATGGCGTCGACGCCAGTTCAGCTTCGCACCCAAAGACACTACAACTGACTTTACTGGACCACTGGTACTGATGAGATTGATTCTGATGATTCACTTGTGTTCATGAGGGTTGTCTGAGTCTATTTGACCGTATTTGCAACTACAAAGGGTGAGCTAACTGCAAAAAACCGCGATTTGACTGCGACAAGTTATAAAGAGATGACCGCGTGATTTTCCTGGAGCTAACTGACGTCACAAGTGCTCGACCGAGTGCTTGTTGGCGTCAATAGGGCCGTAGAGTCGCCTTCTGGGCCATAAGGGATATACTTCCCGATGATTGGTCCAGTGAGTTGACTGACGCGCCGGTGGACAAGTCCGGCATTAAACAATTCTTAATATTTCCCGACTAACTGACTTGGGCCCCTCCAAGTCAGAACAGAGGGAAATTGGATCCGATAAAGAGGAAGCATTCTACCAAATTGAATTGACTTTCACCTTTAAAGAGAAAATTTTCAAATCAGTTAACCGGGACGTTTTCTAATACTCCCTTTCGATTTTACAAAAATCTGAAGATTTTTAGAAGGTGAGCTAGATATAGCGTTAAAATAAACTATAGAGTCAAAATTTTTTCGCTAATGTTTCCTGACTATTTGGTCGTAACAAATATGATAACACACTTCAGGTAATAAAATAATTCAACAATATAAAAATCGACACATGATACTTACACTCCCTGATGAGCTAAGGATTGATTGCGATACCTCCTCTGATTTTAACGTTTTGAAATTTTCTGATCCGTACTCTAAGATCTGATCTCCTGAAAACAAGGAGTTCGTTTGATCTGTTTTATCACTTAATATAACGTCGAGAATAAAAACTGCTCCCTAAAAAACAAGCAAACAAACAACATAAGATTAGACAAAAATTTTTTAGATCAGAAAGAGATTTCATATTCTTATATAACAAAGTTTATCGCTCCGCTTGTTGTCTGCACGAAGTTCTATTCCGTCTTGTTATCCCCATGAGTGGAAAGTTGTTGTACTTATAAGAATTACTTTTGTGTTTTTTTTTACATACATCTAGTAAAGAAATTTGTGTATGAACGGTGGCTCATACCTTCTAGTTGCTCCTAAACTCAACACACAAACGTCGCATATTTACTTTAATTAGATATTTATATTCTCTTCATATTTAAAATATACAACAAGTTAGATACGGTAATATAGTATGTATGACACTAACCACCGCATCAAACGACGCCGATAATGTGGCATACTATTTAAATACGATGGTTGAAAAGACTGGAAATAATTCGATTATTTATAAAATTAATGTAAACGGATTAGTCGCGCGGTGCTAACGACGAATTCATGTTTTTAAATGTAAAATTAAATAGAATCATACAAATTTTTCAGGCGTCTCCGTATCTTCTAAAAATTAACTTGTGGCAATTCCTGACAGTTAGTAAAAATATTAGAATAGGCAGATAGCCGAATTTGACAATCTTCGCATACTATTCAAACCAAAAAAGAATACCATTAACACTGCATTGAATACCCCAACGAATTTATATGTAACCATCAGTAAGGAAGAATAATAAGTACTTATCGCTTGAACCATGTATATCCTAGGCGAAAAAATACTTTTTTTTGAAAAAGAAAGAATAAAACATCGTCAATTTTATCTTCGATGATGTACGGACTTTTCCAGTTTGATTACAATTTAAAGACTTTACTGAAAGTTTTCGAAGCAATAAATTTACTAATTGATTTTTCGTCATAGCTATCATTTTAATTCTCTATAAACATTCTGACAATTTTCGGATTCCATACAAATAAAACTGTCCCGATTCCGAGCAAAAACTGATTGTTTAATTTCGAAAAGTGAAATCATATTATTACAATTATTGTAATAAATCGCTGTCATTATTGAAGGCATCTCCAAATTAACATACAAGTTGTAAAAAGTTCAGCCTAACTACGGCAGATTGTTATTTTTGTAGCTCTGTTAAAAATCGTCCCTTATTACTCCGAGGGTGCTAAGCACCCGGACCATCATATGCGCTCCATGCTTTTGGTAGCATGCATTGTCGTCTCTCAAACGTATATTCTTTTTAGTCAAGACTCATTATTGTAATTATTATCATTAATCGAAATTTCAACCTGTTGAGAAAATCTCAACTGTTGAATCAACCGTTCAAGGATAGGGATTATTGTGAAATATATATATATATATATAGGAAGATTGTCAATATTTTAGGAACATTCGAAAATATTATTCAAAATACCCAAAATGTCAGGTTTCTATAAAATTTTGATTCAGTTTATTGTAGTTTTTTAACATTGAAATCGTTTATTAATCAAATAGTACTAAACTTTTCTTCCGTTGTTTGGTAAAGTTTACATTATTCTTAAGTTGATTATCATGTTCTTTGGAATCTATCTGCTTGTTCTTCTTCGAAAATTGAATTTTTTCTTTAATTATTCGATCATCTATCATTTTTATTGAGTGTTGATCAATCTTTTTCTGGACTTCATTTGAAGTAGAAGAGCACGATATATTATCATTGCCGAAAATAGCTCAATTTCCTAAGATTTTTTGTTCCTCATCTTTTTTTCCTTTTCTTTGTATTTTCTCCCCGTTTTCATCAACTTTAATGTTTTCAAGACTCATTTTACCATCTATAATAAAATTTCTATATTAAAAGAGTTTACTGATATTAAAGAAAATTTTACGCAATAGTCGCAATTAATTTTTTTTTGGTTTTAATTGTTTTAGATTTGGAAAATTTACAAAATAAATGGATGTAATTGCTAAATATTCAAAATCTAAAATATATAAATTGTTAGAAAAATATAAACATAATGATAATGACAGTAGTGATGAAGACTCGTGCTCTGATATATATAATAGTAATGATCATAATAAAACTGATGGTGAATTTAATTTCAAAAGACGCAAAAGTAGTGTTTTTACTGTATCACACAATCAAGGTGAATCGAAAATTAGGAGATCTAAAAAGATATGTAGTTTGATAATATATTTATCCGTTGAATAATCACTTATCTTATTGAACTCTATTAAATATTTTTGTTTGATGAGAATTTGCAATTCAAAAATTAACGAATGATATAAATATAAACATCATCTTAATTATGATTCGAAGAAAAGTATATTTCGATCATTTGTCTTTGATAAGATGGTTATTATCAATTAAAAATAGAAAATATTTACTATAGATTATCTTATTCTATCCAATCTTAATAAGAATAAATATTTGATTAATTTTCACTAATAAAATGTTCTTGGCAGAATAATATTTAAACCAAAAATTTATTTTTCTAACACAGTTCCAGAGAAATTCCGCCGAAGTTCCTCTCAGTCTTGCCTCCGAAACATTGTGGAAATGGACTTTTGGTGGAGTTCCGGAACAACGAAATTTTTTTTACACGAGGTGTTATCAAGAATTACCGACAAAAAATCAATCAAGTAAGTCTTAATTTCACCGCAACGTGGAGCTAGAAATAAATTTCTCAGTCAACCAGTGTTTATTTTCATAACTAAAAATGTCGACAAAAACAGAAATATAAAAAAGAAATATATCAAAATCTCAGCTGACGAGGTTTAACAATAGCGTAACAGACAATATGACAGCATTAGTAACTCGTGTTATAAAATTACGATACTTGTAAAGTATTTGAGTAGAATTTAAATTACTCTACTCAAATGATCTCAGAGTATTTGTATTTGTATTTCAAGTACTTTATAAAATAAGAGTATTGGTATTTAAACACTTTTCAGAAGGTATTTTTTACGAGTCTGGAAATTAACGCTGCAGAAGGGAGCCAAGATCAGATGCGAGCAGAAAAAGAGATCGAAAATAAATCTAATGCAGAGATGAAAGCTCTCGAGAACTCTCATTATACAACTGCAGCAAAAATTCGAAAAATCATAGAAGTAGAATAAGAGCAAAAATCAGAAACCAGAGCACGAGCTGTACAAAATAATGGACAAGAGCATCGGAATGTACAAATATCAAATGTCAAGCTACCATTCGTTAAAGTTCCGGAATTTAAAAAAAAACACAATCAATGGCTGTTTTTTATGATTTCGTCAAGTCAATAATTCACAATCGTGCAGCTCAAGTAATTGCAGATATAGATACAACAGCAGAGAACTACGACGGTGCATAGGAGTTATTAACAAAAAATTATGATAACCCGAGACTTCTCATCAACACTCATATAAATCAGTTATTAGACTTGCCAGCAATAGAAAAAGACAAACTTCACACTATTAAAGAATTAATTATTCATTTTAGGTCACATTCAAAAGCTTTAAACACATTACTACAAGAAGAATATAAAGACGGAAGACCGGCGTCAGAAGAACTTTTTACATTTCTAAATGACAGGTGTTGTACTTTAAAAATAATAGATAAAAGGAAACTTGAAAAAATGACCATGAAGAATACATTGCAAAATTCATCTGACAATAAAGTTTTTCTAGTAGCATCATCGAAAGGTAATTGCATAATTTGTCAAGGAAATCATCCAATATTCAAATGATCAGAGCTCCTAAAGTTACCTGCGTCAGAGAAAATAAAAAAAAAATAAGTTGTGTTTGAATTGCTTGTCAAGTGGGCATCATGCAGCAGATTGTAAAGCATCATCGTGTAAGACTTTTCGAAAATAAACATAATACGATATTGCATTTTGATCGAAAAGAACAGTCGAAAAATCAGCAGACACCAGACCAGGGAGAATCATCTGAAACAGTCATGCACTACAGTCAAGAGTTAATATTGTTAAAAAACCGGCGAGTCAAATATTATTATCAACAGCACAGGTTTTAGTTAAAGACGTGAATGGCCAACAGTTCCAATCACATTGGGTTACAATAGCATTCGTAAAACACCTGCAGTTAAAGGAGAAAAAACAATATGAAACAATCATCGGAATAAATAATTCACAGGCAAACACTACTGAAGTCGTCAATCTCAAAATCAAATCGATTTATACGGATTTTGTTGAGGTTTAGACTTTATCGGTGACGACATCTTTGGGTGTCGTGAGGTGCATAAGGCTCACGACACTCGCTCTCCCTTCCGGTTTGTAGGATTGTTTCTTGAACGACATTACTCACTCTTTCGTAAAACTACTTGGTGTCACGACGCGTTCCTTTTGTATTCATAAAACATCCGTATTCTGGTTTACTTATATGAACATTATTTTAGTGATTATTAGAGTACTGTTTAGAGTGTTAAATAGATTTAGTTTTGGATAACCATTGTGTCTTCGATTGGCTCAATCAAGTCCTCCTCGACCTCCCATTCCAATAGATTTTCATGCTACAATTAAAAGATTAGTAATATCTACAATAACAGAAAGATTACCACAAATCAAGTTGGACATTAACTAGATGCAGCTGCAACCAGGCTTGAAATTAGCAGATCCTAAATTTTTCATTCCAGGGACCATTGATATTTTAATCAGTTCAGGGCTTATTTGGGCACTGATATTTCCAGAGTGTATTGGAAGGAAGTGTGTGTTAGAGGAGAGATAATTAATTCACATTCCACTTCGAACGTTTATGGAGTCGTTATTTATATTCAATTGCAGAATCAGGTTGAAAGATTTCGGAAGCAAGAAGAAATAGCTGAGAAAATGATTTTTATAAAAATAGAAATTGATTATGGGGATCAGTTCTTGAAATCGGTAAGCACAAATGAATCGGAAAAACACATTGTTGCATTACCTAAGAATCAGAGGTAGTGTTGGGTGAATCTGGTGAAACTAGTAAACAGGCCAGACAGTGCAACAACAAAATTACGTGTTGTCTTTGATACATCAGCCTTTGAAGACATTTAGAGGGTGTGAACACG